AGAAGTTAGAGGGTTGGTATGTTGTGGGGTTGTTAACCAATGTCATAAAACAACATGTGTACTTCTGTTTCATGAGAAACTATTTGTTCTGTAAGCCTTCTCCTGAAGTACAATAAAAAATAAATAAAAATAAATACAGCAAAGTAAAATTTGAGAAAAAAATACAGGCAAAACCAAACAAAACCCTAACACTTTAGCACAATTCTCAGAAGCCTTATCATGGGACTGTTTGCCACCTATTTTTATTTTGGCATTTAAAATTCTTATCAGTAATATTTTGGGAAGTAGGTTGTACACATGGCACAAGTATACAAAGAAATCATTTGTTCGTGTTAGCTACATTAGTTTAAAAAATTTTAAGTAGCACCAAATCCTAAAAGAACCCCCATCTCTCCAAGAACTAAATGCATGTCTTTTATGTAGGGAGGATTGAAAGTAGATCTCAAAATCCATCAACAAAATCCCTTGCCTAACTGTTGTACTGCTCCTATCTGCCATAAATCAAACTCTGGATGCAGCCATCAGATACAGCGGTAACCACAGTCAAGCAGATTGTCATCACTATAAATCCATGGTTACCAACCTCACTGGTATTCTGACACCGCCATATTTCCCTACTCAGCTCCCTCTCCCACTCCAGGAACAATCATCATTTCCTATCTTTTCTAGGCCACTGAAACTTCGAAGTCTCCCTCAAACTCCATAATTCCTTCCCAGCAAAAAGACCTGCTTCATACTCTTCAGGGAAATGGAAGCCCAGGGACAGAAACTCCCTCAACTCACCCCATCATATCTGCAAACCTAACTGCCTTTCTGTCCTATTTTATTGGAGGAGGTGCACTTCCTCCCACCAAAGCTAATCCTTCACTTGTGCCCAGTCTCTTTTCAGGGTTATCACTTCATTGGTCATTGCCTCTCTCTTGCATATTCAAGCTTTCATTCTTTACTAGATATTTTCTATCAGCAGTCAAATCTGCTCTAGTCCAAAAGTTCCTTGACCTTTAGATCTCAAATTAAAAAAAAAAAAAAATTTAGTGTGTGTTGGGGGTGGGGGGGGGGTGTTATCAGCATGAGCTACCCATTTTTTTCCCCCAAGTATAAAGAATAAAAGCAACCCTACCTTCTACTATCATCATCATTTACTAAATGGAAGAATATTTTAACACCAAACAAACAAAAAAAAATGAAACCTAGGGAGGACATACAAACTGATCGCTCTCATCTTCTTTAACTTTCATCTGCTTCCCTACAGTTGGCTGCTCCAAAATTCACTTTCTTCCCTTGACTCCTGATACTACACTATCCTGGATTTTCCCCTCTAGACACTTTTTCCTAATTGGGGCCCCTTCTAGTCTATCCCACCTTTAAAATGGGAGTTCTTTAGGGTTGCATCTTTAGGTCCCCTTTCCTTCTTACTCTACACTGTCTCCTTGAGCAATCTCATGTACCCTAATAGTTTCAAAGGCTACTGTGTCCAGCTCAGACCACTCTCCTAAGTTTTAGACAGACCTGTATCAGACTGCTTACTCAACATCACTACTTTGATACCTCACAAATATAGATACCTCAAATAGAAGTTGCTTTCTCACACTGCTAATTGCCTACCTATTAACCACTCCCCACCTCTTCCACACTAACAGAATCTCTACCTCGCCAGGAGTAGCAACGTACTGAACTAAAAATACTTCCCTACATTTCCTTGAAGCTGACCTGGCCAGTGAGTGTCAAATGGGTTTCTGGGAAAGCTTGTTTTCCTGGTTAAATATCATACTTTTCTTCATATAAGAGAGGCTAAAGAGGAACAGCCATCTCTTGAGACTAGAAGGTGACATGCATGAGGTCTACAGCCAACATGATAAGGTTGGCGGAGCAGCTTACCTCACTGATGGCACTAATCATGATTGTGTACCCTGTTTTATTAAGAAACTAACCCTCTATTTGTTTAAGCCATCGTTTACTAACCTCCTGATATCTGTAGCCAAACAGATCCTTGTTATAATAGCCTAAATTAAACTTATTTCTTCCCATACTTCAAATCTTTCCTAATCTAGTATTGTCCATCTTAGTAAATGCAGCAGCATCTGACCAGTGCTCATACTTACATCAACTTGATACCATCTCATTCTTTTTCATCAAATCAAAATATCACCAAGTGCTGCTAATTTCATCTCCAAAACACATCTCAGTATCTACTTTTCTCACCTCTTCTACCCTAGTCCAACCCATCACATCTCTCTCATAACTTCAACTTTCACCACCCTCTAATCCATTCTACACAATTTTTAAAAACCAAATTATTCTACCCCACCCACCCCTAATTTTAAGCCTTCAAGTTTCCTTTTGCACTTTGAATGAAGTCCAAAACTAAATTCTCCTCACTCTTACCTCATCACATAAGCCTTCTTTCACTTTCTCATATGTGCTAAACTTTTTCCTGACTTGGGGCCTTCAAGCCAGACTGTTTAAAATCAATCCTATTCCATCCTTCTCTTAACTCCTTCAAAATTTATACAGTATCACCTTTCAAAGAAAACCAACCATACCTAATCACCCAGATTAAATGAGATCTTCTCATTATACTCTCTCCCAACACTGTACTTTTCTATCATTTATTATGATTGTATTTGCTTTTAAAATAAACAAAACATTAAAGATACAAACTAACCACTCCTCCTGCATCCACTTCCTTCCCTCCCAGAATTAAGGTTCAACTAAAGACTGGAGTGCATGTTCTTAAACTACATTGTACATTTGTGTCTCATATTAAGTTTGTTATAAATGTATAAAAATGGCATCATATGGTATATATTACTTCCTTTATAG